TCCCAGATCTCTCGGCAGAGGACAAGTGGTGCGCGGCGCCGGGCCACGCGAGGGACAGCGCGCTGGCAGCGGGGACAGGGGTGGGCTCGCACCTTGGGGAGGGGACCCTCTGCCTCAGCTCGGCTGTTAGAACGTCTAGCCCTTGCCCCTTCTCCTTTCTGGACCCGTGGTGAGCCTCTACCTCAGCGATCCTTGCAAGTTTTAAATCTGACAAGGAAACCAAGAAAGTCTGCAAAGGTCCCCCTGCCCGCCTCTCTTAGTTTTTGCGAGGCTGTTGCTTTAGGGCACCCCCATCCCCGAGCAAGGCGCCCACCACCCCACAGCTTCTCTAGCTCTCCGCTGTCCGCTCGGACCGCCCGCTGGAGAGCCAGGAGCCCAGCATCCCGAGTTCCTATTTGGGCTCTGGGAATCCGAGCCAGGCAGAACCGAGAAATCGGGAAGGAACGCGGAGCAGGTGGAAAGTTGTCCCTTTGTAACAGGCGACCTCGCAGCGCAGGGTTAGGCGCCCTGGAGCTCTCCCGAGGGCCCCGGGGACGCTGCGCCCCGGAGTCCCGCCTCTGCCCAGAGGAGTTGCAACAAATGACTCACCATCAGGGTCTTCATTTTGGGCACCTCTTTTGTGCGGAATCTTCAGGCACACGCGTCCGGAGCCACTTTTTCTTGGAGGGTTTCCATGGTGGGTGACTGGGCGGAGGCGGCTCCGATTTTCGCCCGGCTGCCAGCCGCGGCTGAGTGGGCAGGGGAGCCGCGGGACCCAAGGAGCGCCGCTGTTGCAGAGATTAGAGACAGAATTAAAACTGAACCGGACCCTCGTAGTCTCTCAGCGATCTACACAACTGCCGCCTGCCGCCGCCTGCTGGGTCCTAAAGACCTCTGCATCCACCCCCTTCCCGCCCCCAAATAATAATCTTCTCAGCTGAGTAGAATTTTTGGGACGAGAGAGTTAACCGTGCCAGTATACCCATCTTTTGGTCCAAGGGCTTATTTATCTTTTATGAAGTCACCAAGTGAAAAGGAAGGAGAACCCGTTTGGATTCTGAACATGATATCCATTTGAAAATTTGCAAACTAGAATTAATGTTTTGTGATTTTTAGAAAAACAAGTCTACAGTCCAAATGTCAATGGCTTTATTTATAGCATTGGCGTTTACGATCAGAGCGTGGAGGAATTTGTCACGAAATAAATTTTAAAATAAATTATTTATTATTTCAGTTTCCAATTGTAAGATTTCTGCTATCCTCTCCCCCTTTATTTTACTTTTTAAATTCAGTTATTCTCATGCAATCTTTATAATTTTCATCTAAATTATTTCATGTATTACTTGTTTTAAATAGTATAATTTATTTTTCTATCAAAACTTTGAGGTTCCGACTATTTGTCTAAACGATTTAAAAGTGTTAAGAACATTCAGCACATCATACCCACATGATGAACTGGACCTGTAGATTCTTCCTAATTTAAATGAAAGATTTCTGGCTGCTAAAATAAAACTGCTTACAGCTTATTTTTAAAGAATTCTCAGGCCTTTGGTGCTCTCCTAGTGTCGGTCTACTGCACTGACAGTACATAATTCCACATTCAGAACTTCAATGAAAATTAAAAACAACAATTATTCGGGGTGTTTTTGGAAATTCACATCAATAGCTTGTTTTAAAGGTACTCTCCCCCACTCTTACCCCGTGCTGAATTACAGATGGCATTTGTTAAATGTCTAATTTAGGTAAAAACATATTTCTGGTGAAATTGCTCAGTGAGAATAGTCTCGTTAATGTATTACTTAACACCTCACCTGTAGCAGCGTAATGGTAAAGATTACATTAAGATGAAAATGATCAGCAGGCCAACTGAACCATAGACACAATAAGAGCTTTCTCAAGGCCAAAAAAGGCATTACAGTCCTCTTTTAATCTTCACTAATCCATTGCTGGACTGATGATACAACAGGAACTATTTTTAACTTATGAAGCATCCTTCTATACTCCGTATTGAGAAAGTTAAAATTAATCGGAGCAATAGTGTTTGGGAGAAAGCGAAAAACGTGTGGGATTTGGCCTTTCAAGGAAAAACAAAAAATTCCAAACACTGTCCAACATTGTCAGCCTTGAAGCTATTTATTCAGTTTGTGCTTTGGGCATGAATAGCACCAGTTGTTAGGGCAGGAAGAGCAGCAGCCGAAGGAGAATCTTATCGGGTCTTGGCAATTCTTTATTGGATGGTTGCACTTGACACTCAAATTAAGGAAACAAAGGACCAACTTGATGCATCACTGCAAGCAGATTATCTGTGTTTCTCCAGGGCTCCTTTTGAGATGCTACTGGATGTAGCTTCTGCATTTTTCAGAATCATTCCCCTTCCATCTAGTAAGTTGCCCAGTGACCAATAAAACACTTCTAATATATTTTGCCATGCCAAACAAAGCCATCGTATTTATGATTTAAGATCATGGCAGTACGTTGGACATCTGTCACACAGTATGTCTGACCAAATTCATTAAGCTTATGCCTTTTTTCTCTCTCCTGGGATAGTAGTTAGCGAGTTCCTAGACCTACTTATGAAATGGCCAGGGTAGACTTAAAAAAATGTAATTCTGAAGTTGATTTGAATAATTTCAAGGTCTCTGCCTTTCAAATATTTGATTAGATTGATGTGATAGTTTTAGACACTCTGGACTGAGAGCCAAATGGACAAGGTGGAGAAGGGGAAGGGCAGCTAAAACAAGTAATAGAAGTTAAAATCCTTGTGCTGTTCATTTAATGATCACCTGCTATCTGGTGGTTCTATATGAGGGAATACAGAGAGGAATAAGACGCAAATCCTCTTGTTTGAGTTCACGACCATGTGTGTATGTGTGTGTGTGTGTATGTGTGTATGACAAGTCTGCAAGTGGGACAGGAGGGAAGGGGGCAAGGCACAACTAAAAGAATGATGCAGCAATTAGCACCAAGATAGTGGAAGATTCAAATCCCTATGGACTTTGAGCTTCAATATACGCTCATTGAAATACAATAGTATGGTAAATGGCGCCCACAGGTGCCATGGCAGTTTCAAGACTGCCCATAAAAGGTCAAGGAGTGGGTGATGGTCCAGTTCCTGGGAATCCCAGCCCCTTCCCCAAAGTAGTTGGAATAATCCTCCCACTTGTTTGCAGATGAATTTACCAAGCCCACAAAAACAAACAGTCCCTCACCTCCTTTGAGGTGGCCTGCACTCTGTCTGTGGAGTATGTGTCTCTCTGAATAAATCTACTTTCACTCAACTGTGGCTCGCTCTCGAATTCTTTCCTGTGCGAAGCCAAGGACCCTCACTTGATGGAGTGCATCCCAGGGACTCGCCTGGGACCTGGGACGTGGCCATCCTCTTGCATTCCATTTTTCCTGCATCATAAGTTGGCAATAAAAGTCATATTGTTAGAGATTTAGCATGTATTTGTCAAGTGCCTACTATGTTAAGCACTTACTATGCGTCAGGCATCAGGATACTTGGATCCCGTGCTGCCCTGAAGGAACGCAAAGTCTACTCTTTCCAAGTAAGTGCTGTGAACCTTTATATTACAGAGAATTAGGAATCTGTCAAAGTACTTGGCTTGTTTTTCAACTTCTGAGTGCTTGTTTATTTAAGACCTGAGGGGTTTGATATTTTAAGGGTAGCCACCTCGGTTTTCATAACTTTTTGTACACTTTTAAGTTAATAATTTGAAGAACCAGAAAGAGCAGAAAATAAGCAGCATTCATAGACACTCGATTGACTTGGAAATGAGTAGACAAGTCAATAAAGCTTTTTTAGTTCATCCACCTTGTCCAGTTCAATACAAGGTGAGTAGGGGAATCACAATTTGCTTCTCAAAATCCAGGTAGCTGAGATGGACTTCTCACCACTTAAAATTTTGCCACATATTTGCCTCTGGTGCCATCACATCCAAGTAGACTCAGATTTGGGCGGGGGAATGGACAGAAAGAAAGAAAAAGAAAGAGAAGGAAAGTAAAAGAAATTGACTGTTCCGCAATGTAGGTTATGTGATAAGCATAAGATGAGGATTTATGAGACCAGGCATGTCACAGGGCAAGGAGGGAGGAGGTGGTGCTCCTGCCCGGGAGGGAGGCCAGCCTGTGCCCGTGGACACAGAGGTACCAGAGAGCTACCAGGGAGGTGGGAAGACAAACTGCTGGAAACCAGTGAGCCCTGCCCGTGACTCCTAAGTGACCTCTCAAATCAGAAACAAATGTGTCAAACATTTCCAAAAGGGATAGAAGACAGAAAGCAACATAATGTAAACTGCATTGGAGATGTGACTGCTTTCCCCTTTATGATCTTAAAGAAAAAAGTTCTGCTGAATGCTACAAAAGCAGAAATCTTCATAGTGGCAAAAAGTCCCAGAACAAAGTTGATACTTTTCAACTTGGGTTCCTCAGTTTAGTCAACTCACTTCACTTCACAGGCTGCGGAGAACAAGTCTGTGGAGTCAGGCGGCCGGGACCCAGATTCTGACTTGA